TCTTTTGGAATTGTCTTAAATCCTTGCATTGCTGAGAAGAGCTCAGTCTATCAAAGTTAGTCATTGCACAAGGTGGCTGTTGCTGTGTATAATGTTCTCCTGGTTCTGCTCAGCATAGTTTCACTCAGCATTAATCCATATAAGTCTTTCCAGGTTTTTCTGAAGTCTGCCTGCTCATCATTTCTTATAGAACAACAGTATTTCACTACATTCATATACACTCACTCTGGATCTCAGGGACTGGACAAAAATAGGTGTCTGCCCAGACACCACTTAATGGTTATTTTGGGGTCCTCCTGGCTCAGAGTGAATGTAAATAGTAACTGTTTCTCTTTTGACCAGCAACCCTGAGGGTCTTCCCCTCCCAGTTTGATTTTTTTTTTCATTAAAAGGGCCATCCCTTGATTCATTTCTTAAAGAGGCTTGAATGGGTGTTGCCTCACTCAAATTGAGCACTTAAAAAGACCTTAGCTTAAAAGGGCCAACGTCTCTCACTGCATCCTGGGCCATCTCCAGTCATCCTAATTGATCAGATATTGATATCTGGCCACTGGGCCCAAATGGTTCTGGAGGAGAAAGTGAAGCTGGTAACCTTGCACAACCCTCCCTCACTCAAATCAAAGTCAATTGTAAGTCATGTCACCACCTCCCTGATGTCATGGCCCTCCTCGAGAATGAAGGACAACCATGTGCACGTGCATTCTCGCGTGCACACACACGAAATTGTTGGATTCTATTTTCTAATCCATTCTGCTATCCTCTTCCATTTAATGGGTGGGTTCATACCATTGACACTCATGGTTATAACTCTTAATTGTCTATTTCTCTTCCAGCCCATCTTATTGTACTTTTCTCTATTCCTCTTGCCTCTTCTTTACAAAGAAGAGATTTATGAAAGAATAGTTTGCTTAATGCTACTGCTACATAATTGAAGCAATCTATTTTGACTCAATTTCCCCTCTTCTCTTTTCCCTATCCCTGATCACAGGTATTTGCTCTTTATTTACTTTTAATCCACCCCTTCATGTTCCACTCAGTGATTCTGGAATTTGTTTTGCTTTTTCTTATGACTACTCCCTCACCTATTCTACTCTCCCTCTTTACTGTCCCTTTCTTCTCCCCTGACTATTCCTATTTCCCAATTGAATTTAATGTGTATCTTTACCATGGTTGTGTGTTAAGTTTTCCTGTATCTGGGTCAGAAGTGAAGTTCATAGGATGACAGTTCCCCACAGTTCTATATTTGTTGAGTCTTCATCTCATGTGCCCTTATTACATGAGGCAGTGCCCTTTCCTCCTCTTTTTTCTCCAGTATATCCTCCCTTTTCCCCATTTCTTACTTCTAAGACTATTAAAATAGAACAAAATCATTCCCAGATCATCTGACTGTTTTATTTAACTTTATGACCCTTGAAGACATTGACATTCCTCCTTTCTTCCCCCCTAGAATATAAACAGTTCATTATCATAAGTCCTTCCCTTCTGATTGATCAAATGCACTTATCTTTCTATGTACTTTTTTTGTTACTCCTGTGTTTTCATTTCAGTTTGTGGTTAGCTTTGGCCTTTTCCCTAGAAATACTTATAAGTCCTCTATTTAAATATCTTTTTTCCCCTATAGCTATATAATCACTTTTGCCAGACAGGTCATTCTTGTAAGTCTTTATCTTTTGCCTTTTGGAATATCACATTCAAGGCTCTTCTTTTTATGGTTGTAGCTTCCAACTCTTGTGTTATCCTGACAGTGGCTTTTTTGTATGTTAACTCTTGTTTCGGCTACTGGAAGTATGGCTTTATTTTTTAATTTAATCTAGAAGTTTTAGATTTTGGCAATAACATTACTAGGAGTTCTCATTTTAGGTTTTCTTTCAGAAGATGAATGGTAGAGTATTTATGTTTTCACTTTACCCTCTGATTTTAATAAATCTGGGCTTCTTTTACTTATAATTTCTTGGAATATAAAGCTTATTTTTTGTTATGATGTATACATAGAATATCAGTCAATAATCTGATAGTTCTTAGATTATCTCTCCTTGACCTGTTTTCCTGGTTGGTTTTAAAAATATCATATTCCTTACATTTTCTTTCCTTTTTCAAATCTTTTGATTTTCTTTTACTATTTCTTGTTGTATCATAGAATGATTACTTTCTGATTCTGGCAGCCTTTTTGAGCAGTACTGGGGATGGCAGAACTTATCATTGTTTCTCTTTGATTTTCTTTATTATTATTCATTCTTTTTTTTTCTTTTAATTCGCCTTCCTCACTTCACCCTTTGAGGGGTAAAGCATTCTTAGAACTTTACTGGTGTTTTGTGGGTGATCTGGGTTCTTCTAGGACCTGACACAGCACCATCTTTTCACAGTTCCCATCACTACTGCTTTCTGCACTGATAGTTCTGCATCTTAGAACTTGGAGCTGGAAGCTCCATTAGAGATCATCTAGTTCAGCCTCCTCATTTTATACGTAAGCAAAATGATGTCCACACAGCTTGTTTTCATTGTTCCCTGACTCCCAGGCAACCAACAGTTTTAACTGCCTTATTGCTTCTGTAAGGGAGAAGGGGAACTGATATATTATTTCACAAAGAAGAATAAAAACTTTACTTGTCACTTTACCCCAGTGAAGAGAAGCCTGGAGAGGGTGTTGTTTAATCCAAAGGAATGAATAGCTACTGGTAAAATTTTAGCTCTTAGTGAAGGATATATTTTGATTAAATGGCCTTAGCTTAAAATTTTAGCTCTCAGTAGGGAACACATTTTGAGCAAAGAGCTCTGTCCTAGTCTGTGCTTTTTCTATTATTATTCAATATTCATATATGAATAGAGCACCAGGCCTAGATTCAGGAAGACCTGAGTTCAAATCCTTTCTCAGACACCAACTAGCTATGAGACCTCGTGCAAGCCACTTAATGTCTGTTGGTCTGTTTACTCATCTGTAAAATGGGGATAAAAATATCACTTATCTCTCAGGGTTTTGTGAGGATCAAATGAAATAATAATTCTAAAGTACTTAGTACCAGGTTTTGCACATAGTAAGCACTATATAAATGTTAACTGCTACATTGTTATTATTGTTATTATTGTTGCTGTTGTTGTTCTGTTTAGGGGTAAGACCAGCTCTGGGATGTGATTGCCATTTGTTAATTGACTCTTTGAATGACCACTGCCAGAATTTCCAGTGTAGCAGTGGTCATTCAAAGCTGGCACATGGAAACCAGTACTGCCCAGTCTCTTGTGTCAAAAGCGTTTTGTGTCTTTCAGGTCCTTTGAGCAGCCAGTACCCCTTTCAATGCATCTCTGGGTTCTCAGAAGCTTGCAGTTCAATTGGAAAATGAAAATATGGTCTGGGATTTGGTTGGGTTTTTACTACTTCTACTACTTCTCCTCCTCCTCCTCCTCCTCCTCCTCCTTCTCCTCCTCCTCCTCCTACTACTACTACTGCTACTACTACTACTTTTTACTACTTCTTAGATACCTTTTAGGTCTATAGGTCTCTGTGTGCATAAACTCTTATACCAGGGGGACCACCTTCTGACTTTAATACCCTTTTCCCCAGAATGCCTCCAAGTGGTGTAGAAGAATCATGTATCTCAACAGGGACACTGAGTCTGGGGAAGTGATTAGAGTCCTATTAAAATCTATTTATTAAAAATCCTCCCATGTTGAGAATCAATTCATGGCCCTTAATATCGTCAAACTGGTGTAGAAAAGTTTAAACCTCAGACCTTTAATAATAATAATCTGACCCCATTTCAGGTTTTCTTGGCAAACATACTGCAGTTGCCAAACATTTCTTTCTCTAGCTCATTTTACAGATGAGAAAACTGAGTCAAATAGGGTTAAGTGACTTGCCCAGAGTCACGCAACCAATATCTAAGTGTCTATGGTCAGATTTGAACTCAGGAAGATTTATCTTCCTGATTCCAGTCTTGGCACTCCATCCACTGTGCCACCTAACTGCCCCATAATAGTCTCCACTCCATACATACATATATATGTGTGTGTGTGTGTGTGTGTGTGTGTGTGTGTGTGTGCATGTTGATATATGTATATATGCATATGTATTATGTTTAGTTATATTTACAGATAAATTATAATTTCTGTGTTATAAATATGTTGTATTAAATTTACATATAAACCAATCTAGGGTTTACTTTCATCACAGCAGATTCATTGCAAAAGCATTATCAACCTCATTCAACAGATGAGGAAATTGAGCCTTAGAGAAATTAAGCAACTTGCCTCAAATCACACGTTAATTATTCAGTAGAGTTAAAAAGTCTTTAGGATCCCCCCAAAAAATGATGTAGGAGGCCTACTATATGTATATGTAAGCCTCTGCTCCTTGCTGCCCATAGGGTGAGAAATGGGTCACTATGGCGTGGTTGACCTAGACTCAGGAGGCCCAGGGTCTGCCACAGATTATCTCTGTATCCTTAGGCAAGCCTTTTCTCCAACTCCAGCATAGTTACATGATAGCCACAGACAGTGAAAGAACTGCATTTGCCTCCTATTGAAGAATTAGTCATCTACTTGGTGATGTTAGTTTTCCTAGTTGGACAACCCATGTCTTGTCTCTTGCTTTTGTACCATGTGCACCCCATGTATGGAATTCAATGTCTCCTCGTGGCTTCCTTTTGTGACCTCCAGCTCACTTCAGATCTGATCCAGTGCTCTCTCTTAGTTTCCCCAATTGTTACCCCTTTCCCCAATTGCTTTTCTTTTTTCTGTGTATTTACTTACCTATTATACATTGAGCCCATCACCTCCAGAAGAACGTAAGCCCCTTGAAGGTGGGGATTTTTATTCCTTTATTTTTCTAGTACCCAGCACAGTACCTGGTACAAAGTAGGCTCTTAAGACTAGAAGGACCAGGATTTAAGAATACCTGGAAGGACCAAGGTGCATCAATTGATAGTAGGATGACAATTTCTTTTTCAGAGTAAAAATATAACATCTACTTGTAATTATTTGTATTTAAAGTCACAGATAGGAGAAAGAAAATATGAAACATAGAAATGTTTATTAAGTTGAACTGAATTTAAAGAAACTAGCTTGCATAACATTACAAAGAAAGGTTTATGCTACCCTCTGGTTTCTCTATTTGGTTCTTCTAAGCAACGTGTTCATTGATTCTAAGCCAGGCCCATGGGCCTGTGTGTATACAGCATGTCTGTGAAATTCAGGTCAGTCATGTCAGTGTGAGCAGTTACGCAAGGCTCAAAACCACAGTTCTTCTATGTAAGGCCCTTTCAAAGATCCCTTGGCCTGACAAGATGCTGACGGATTTGTCTATGGTAGATTTCATGGTGAACACTCACCAGAGAGTGCCACCAAAATTAATCTGTAAACAATCTCAGTATAGGTCACCCAAGCCATGTTCTCATTTCAACCTCAAAAAGATCCACCATTTCCCAAGCCATTGTCTATATTGTCCAGTTTAAGGAGGCAGAGTAGTTCTTCTATCTGACTTGGACTTGTGAGGAGGGAGAGGGAGAAAGATGGTTGAGTGATTTCTGGGTGTTTTATACTCCTGACAAAATTTGAAGGTTCAAGGCTGATGCTAAGCATCAAGTTATAGATACTTATTTTTCTTAAAATGTATATAAAGCAGTAAAGTAGCAAGCTCACAATTGTCATCCTTTCCCCTCCTATTTACTATTAAGTAATAACTTTAAAAGCAGAGAAGTAACTTGGTAGATTTATGTCTTTAAAAAAATCTTATGAAGAACTAAATTACAGGAGTAGCTGGGGCCCAAGTTTGGATGGGTAATTTTGATGAAGCAAGTTTTTATTTCTTAAAAATTTTATTTTAAGTTCCATAGAATCTCTCAAATTTTGCTCTGAATAAAGTTGCATTCTGTTTATCTCTTTCAGTGATATAGACAAATAAATTCAACTGTAAGTATTTGCTCTTTGCAGTGTTGGAATTGGCAATCTTTGCACCTGGGGCAAACAGCAGGCAGTGGGAGGGGTGGTTCAGGTTTCAGTGGTCCTGAAGGGCTGGCAACTAGTAGGGGTAAAGGAGAAGGAGACAGGAGGGATGGGGTGGTGGAGCAGCAGAGAGGAAGCAAACCCTAGGACGAGGTTGAATGGGAAACAGGGTGGTGTGGGGAGGCAATTCATAGAAGCAAGGAAAGGAGAAAGCTGAAAAATTGGTAAACTCTCTAAATTTCTTGACCCAAGGGGAAGGAATCATACAACTGGAAAAGAAGACCTTTGGGGCAGGACTGGAGATGGCAGGGGCTAGTGGTAGGGAAGTGAGCCTGGGAAACCACACTCTAGAAATATCTTGCCCTGGCACTGTGCTCTATGCAAGTTCCAGCTCAGCTGTTCGGACATTTGTAAGTTTGTAACTTCTTTGATTTATTGTTTTAACAACCCTTCCATTCACCCATTCATGTTTTCCCCTGTAAATTTCCCATTAACTTAAGGAAGGAATCTATGCTAATTACAGGCATTAAGTGTCAGAGGCATAGTGTCAGAGAGATGAGACACGTCTGCATCTTCTCTGGCAGGTTAATCTGTGTGGAAAGGGAACTCACATCCTGAGTAGAGATTTTGTTTACAGAAAAAAAAAGTAGAAGGAGCAGGCATTGAGAATGGATCTGCGCTACAGAGGGGGTGGCAGATACTTGACACCTATGTGCTTGGAAATTGCTGATTGAGTGAAACATGGGGCATTGTACTCAAGTTGGTGACCTTCAGCCTTCCCTCACAGGTATCTTGTGAAAGTGTTCAGGAATAATGGTCTATTGCCCCAGGACTCACTTCCTAGAGTGAAGCAGACCAGTAAAAATTAATTTGTCTTGGTTCAATTATTTAATAAGCCTTTACTGAGAGTCTTCTGTTTGCCCAGCCCTCTGCTAGGTACCATGGAATCTAAGGGAGGAGAAGACAAATTCTTATCCCTTCAGAAGCTTAAACTCAGGTTGGGGAGGTGGGTATACCCACTGGAAACATTAAGTAACTTTACTAGGCAGTAGGTGGTAAATATTAATTTGGGTGGTACAAACTTATATAGACTCCAAAGTGGAGATTACTGTAGCATGACAGAGTCATGTGTGGGCACATGAGAAAAAGGCAGAACTTTAGCTAGGCCTTGGAGGATGGGTTAGGATTTGATTAGGGAGAGGAAAGAGGTACAGAGAGATGGGCATTACTGGCAGGGGAAACAGAATTGATTTTCATTTTCTTTTATGGGCTACAAATAGGGTTTATTAAAACCTCTTGCTCATAGACTCCCACCTGAGAGGTAGAAGATTTAAACCCCTTTAGGCCACCAAGACTTGAGATAAATGATTCACCCAGGTTCACCAGTGAGTCATTCATTCTTTTGTCCAGTGGGCCAGCTCTGATAGGGGCTCAGAACTCACAGATAGTGAGGCGGCTCTTAGAGCAGTATTTATCATTCCATGTACCATCTGTGTACATTTCCACGCAATTTTCACTTCCTTGCCCATCTGGCATGCCTGCATACCAGTTGGTGTAGTTCACGGGGGATCCATCCAGGTAATAGAACTCCCCTGGTGTTTTTCCCTCTTTTAGGCCAAGAAAGGCATATGTGTTGTGCTTTTCCACAAGCTTCAGCATGGCAGCATTCTCCTCTTCATTCCTTGGAGTAGCAATAGTGCCTCCTATCTCGTGGCAAGTCATATTAATTGTGAGGAAATCAGAAGCTAGGCCACTGGTGGCAAAAAACTTTTCTCCCACTTGAATCACAATTCCGTATAACTCGAGAGCTGAAGATTAGAGGCAACAGATTCAGGGCAGCTTTCCTTTTGTCCTACTTTTTCTGTGTTTATTTCTCTGTTTGTGTGAGCATGTCTGAATATTTCTCTTTATGGAAGTCTCTTTCTTACCCTGTTTTTCTCGCCCTATCTCTACCACTTTATTTCCTCACTCTTTCTGTTTCTGTCTCTGTGTGTTCCATTTCATATAAATAAATGAAATCCTCTGCTTGGCATTTAAAAGAATCTACTAGGAAAACGTGCATTCAAGTACTACCTCTGACATTTATTAGCTATGTGACTATTATGAATTGTGTGATCTTGGACATTACCTAAGTTCACTGGGCCTCAGTTTCCTCTTCTGTAAAATGTAGGTAACAATGGGCAGCTAGATGGCAACTAGGATTGCTGGAAGTACCTAGAGTTCAGAAAACTTGAGTGTGAATCCAACCTCAGGTACTTACTAGCTGGGTGATCCCGGGCAAATCACTTACTTGCTATCTGCCTCAGTTTCTTTATCTATAAAATGGAGCTAATAATAGTCCCTACCTCCTCGAACTGTTGTGAGGATAAATTGAGATAATCTTTGTAACGTCCTTTACAAACCTCAAAACACTATACGTGCTAACTATTAATGCCAGAGGATGAATGTGAGGCTCAAATGAAACATATAAAGAGCTTAGCAAACTTTAAAGTTATGTTATTGACCTCCTCATTGTGGCTGTTATTTTTGTTATGACTATTGCTGCTATTATAGTCTTATTTCATATTGTTCTCGTCCGTGTGCTTTCCAGTCCAAACTGTTCTTCACAGGTGACATTCCTTTGCACAGATGGTGGCCCCACATTCCTGTCTGAGCTATGCTTCCATAGCACCTTTTCCTATTAGAATCTCTAGCTCCCTTTCAAAGCACATTCAGGTGCTACCTACTCAACGAGCCTTTTCTTAATTTACCCTGTTGTTAATAGTTTCTTCCTATTGAAATTACTTTGAGGACACTTTGTATATGCTTATCTCTGTACATGCCACATCCTTCCATTAGAGTGTAAGCTCCTTGAAGGCAGAGGCATTTCATATTTCTTTTTATGTTCTGAGCACCAAATATGGTGCCAGGAGCTTAATAAATAGTATTTAGTATTTAGTAAATAGCTTAATAAATAGTATAATAAATATTTGTTCGGTTTAACAAGTATTAAGCCATTCATGTTCTAGGCTATTCTAATGCCCTGGGAATACAAAGATGAAAATGAAAGCATTCATGTTCTCTAGGAGCTACATTCTACTTGGCTGGAAGGAGGGGAAAAATATCCTACACATAGATATAAAATATACATGATAAATACAATGTAATTTTGGGGGAGTCAGGAAGAACCTCTTATTGGAGTTGAGCCTTGAAGGCAGCTAGTCTCCAAATGGAAGAAGAGAAGAGGGAGAACATTTGGGGCTGGGTTGAGTGGGAGGGATAGAGCCTGTGAAAAGGCATAGATACAGGAGATCAGTGCTGGGGTTGAGAGACATCAAATAAACCAAGTTAACTGGAATGGAGAGTGCATGGGATGAGAGGGTACTGTGTGGAAAATAATGTTGAAATCTGCTTAGAAAAAGAGAGTAAAGCCTGGTTATGAAGGACCTTAAATATCAAAGAGGAGTTTTATTTACTGATGCTTTCCAAGTAAGAGAGCATCAGAACTTTGCTCTAGGAACATAAATTTGTCAGTTGGGTGGGTGATAGCATGGAGAGGGGAGAGACTGGAGTCAGGGAGGCCAAGTAATAGTCCAAGAAAAATCAGTAGGCCTTTTAGTACCTCCCATTATCTGGGAGATTAAAAGGAATATTTAACAGTTGGTTTGATCTGGGTAAGCCTTTTTCAAAAGAAGTAATTTTCTGCCCTTTGCCCAAAAGAGTTTTCTAAAAAGAAAAAACCGTTAATCAAAAAAACCTTAATCAAAATGAAACATCATTAAGAGCAAGAGTCACTTCATTTTCTGCACTTTTGTCTCCATTCTCCTCCCTTATCTTTCTTCTCTCAGTGAAGACCCAAATCCAAGAACCAAAGGACAGGTGATTGACCCCCTCTTTCCATCCTCAGCCTGAGAAGAGCAACCCTCTTGGCCCCCAAATGGCCTGTTCTAGAAGCCTGTTCTATTGGGAGAACCCACAGACTTACCAGCTGTCAGCTTCAGGAGGCGAGTTTGTAAATCTGAGATCAGTTGCTCATCAGTTACAGAAGAATGGCTTTCTGGGAAGGAGAAAAATCTTTCTTTGGAACCACTGACAAGGCAAAGAGCCAGCTCAAGCCAACAAGTCATACATACAACTTTCATGCATATCCAATCAATCTAACAACAAGTATTTATTAATCAGCTCTTATACACAGGGAAATATGTGTAATGTGGACTAAATAAATGAAAAGTAATTTTGGGAGGAATGGTGCTAGGAGCTGAAGATATTAGGGAAGTCTTCTTGTAGAATGTCTTGTTTGAGCTGATTTCTGAAGAAAACTAAGGCTTGTAAAGTAGCTGCAAAAAGAGAGCACATTTCCTGCATGGAGGAGAGCAAAGGCTTAGAGACGGGAGCTAAAGGGTTGTGTGTGAGGAACAAGAAGAAAGCCAGTGTAGGGAGTGCATAAAGGGAAGTGGTATGTATAAGGCTTGAAAGAAAAGCTAGGGTCAGATCATGAAGGGCTTTAAATTCCAGACTGAGGAGTTTATATTTGATCATTGAGGCAGCAGGGAAATACTAGAGTTCATTGAATTGAGAGAGTGATATGTGGTTTAGGAAAATCACATTGATAGTTGTGTGGAGGATGCATTGAAGAGAGGAGAGACTTGACATCAATTAGGAGACTATTAAATAGTTCAGGGTAGAAGGGATGAGGGCCTGAAATAGGATGGTAGCTGTGTGAGTAATGAGAAGGATTTGGATGAGAGAGGGATGCTCTGGAAGTAGTACTGGAAAGATATGAGAATTGTTTGTATATGTGGAAGGAGGGAGGGAAAGAGAGAAAGAGAGAGAGAGAGAGAGATAGGTTGAGGAAAACATTAATGTTGAAAACAGGGAAGATCTGAAAGATGATCGTGCTTCTGGCAAAAATAAGAGAGGATTAGGATTTTTTTTGGAGGAGGGGATGATAGTGGATAGAGTGTGGGGTCTGGAGTTCAGAAGGCTTGAATTCAAAACCTGCCTCACACTTCTAGCTATATGACCCTGGACAAATTGTTTGACCTCTCTTATTTTATCTGTAAAATGGAGATAATAGTAGTACCTATCTCACAGGGTTGTTGTGAATATTAAATGGATTAACATATATAAAGTGCTTTGCAAGCCTTAAAGTATTATGTAAGTACTATCTATGAGGACGATGAAGATGTGGAAAATAATGATGACATTTTTTAACTGGGTTTGAGATATCTCTGGGATATCTGGTTTGAAATGTCTGATAGTCAGCATAATTGATCATATCAACAACAAAACTGACAGAAACCACATGATCATCTCAATAGATGCAGAAAAGGCTTTTGACAAAATACAATACCCATGCCTATTACAAACACTAGAGAGCATAGGAATAAATGGAGTCTTCCTTAAAATGATAAGTAGCATCTACCTAAAATCTTCAGCAAACATTATATGTAATGGGGATAAGCTAGAAGCATTTCTAATAAGATCAGGGGTAAAACAAGGATGTCCATTATCACCACTGTTATTCAAAATGGTACTGGAAACATTAGCTTTAGCAATAAAAGGAGAAAAAGAAATTGAAGGTATTAGAATAGGCAAAGAAGAAACAAAACTATCACTCTTTGCAGATGATATGATGATATACTTAGAGAATCCTAGAAAAATCCTAGAATCCTAGAAAATCAAGTAAAAAACTGCTTGAAATAATAAACAACTTTAGCGAAGTTGCAGGCCATAAAATAAACCTACATAAATCATCGGCATTTCTATATATTACCAACAAAGCCCAACAGCAAGAGATAGAAATAGAAATTCCATTTAAAGTTACTGTAGACATTATTAAATATTTAGGAGTCTACCTCCTGAAACAAACACAGGAACTATATGAACACAATGACAAAACACTTTTCACACAAACAAAGTCAGATCTAAATAATTGGATAAACATCAGTTGCTCATGGGTAGGCTGAGCTAATACAATAAAAATGGCAATTCCACTTAAGCTAATTTGTTTATTCAGTGCCATACCAATCAAAGTACCAAAAATTCTTTTATAGAACTAGAAAAAATAATAACAAAGTTCATTTGGAATAACAAAAGGTCTAGAATATCAAGGGAACTAGTGAAAAGAAATGCTAGGGAAGGTGGCCTAGCCATACCAGATCTTAAATTGTATTATAAAGCAGCAATCATCAAAATTACTTGGACTGGCTAAGAAATAGAGTGGTGGATCAGTGGAATAGGTTAGGTATGTAAGACACAATACTCAATGACTATAGTAATCTACTATTTGATAAACCCAAAGACCCCAGCTTCTGGAATAAGATCTCACTATTTGACAAAAACTGCTAGGAAAACTGGAAAAGAGTATGGCAGAAACTAGGCATAGACCAAAATATTACACCATATACCAAAATAATATCAAAATGGGTTCATGATTTAGATACAAAGGCTGATACTATAAGCAAACTGGGAGAGTCAGGAGTAGTTCACCTGTCAGATTTATGGGGAACAGAAGAATTTATGACCAAACAGGAGATAGAGAACATTATGAAATGCAAAATAGATAATTTTGATTATATCAAATTGAAAAGTTTTTGCACAAACAAAGCCAATGTAACCAAGATTAGGAGGAAAGCAGAAAACTGGGAAAGAATTTTTACAGTATCAGTATCTGAAAGGATATGAAGAGGCAATTTTAAGATGAAGAAATTAAAGCCATGTATAGTCATATGAAAAAATGCTCTAAATCACTATTGAGTAGAGAAATGCAAATTGAAACAACTCTGAGGTACCACATTACACCTATCAGATTGACCAACATGACAAAACAGGAAGATGATAATTGGAGAAGATGTGGGAAAATTGGAACATTAATGCATTGTTGGTGAAGTTGTGAAATGATCCAATCATTTTGAAGAGCCATTTGGAACAATGGCCAAAGGGCTATAAAAATGTGCGTATCCTTTGATCCAGCAAAGCCACTTCTAGAGCTATATCCCAAAGAGATCATACAAATGGGAAAAGGACCCACATGTACAAAAATATGCATAGCAACTCTTTCTGTGGTGGCAAAGAATGGGAAATTGAGGGGATGCGCATCAATTGTGGAATGGTTGAACAAGTTGTGGTATATGAATGTAATGGAATACTATTGTACTATCAGAAATGGTGAGCAGGTGAACTTCAGAAAAACCTGGAAAGATTTGTATGGACTGATGCTGAGTGAAGTGAGCAGAACCAGGAGAATGTTGTACACAGTAACAGCCACGTTGTACAATGACTAACTTTGATAGACTTAGCCCTTCTCAGCAATGCAAGGATCTAAGACATCTCCAAAAGTCTCATGATGGAAAATGCTATCCACATCTAGAGAAAGAACTATGGAGTTCGAATGCAGATCGCAGCATACTATTTGCTCTTTTTTTTCTTCTGTTTAGTTTTGTTTCTTCTTTCTTGTGGTTCCTCCTATTGGTTCTAATTCTTCTTTACAACATGACTAATGTGAAAATATGTTTAATAGGAATGTATATGCAGAGCCTATATCAGATTGTACACTGTCTTGGGGAAGGAGGGTGAGAAAAATGTAAAACTCAAAAGTATATAGAAGTAATTGTTGAAAACTAAAAATAAATTAATGATAATAATTTAAAAAAAGAAATGTCTGATAGTCAGTTGACAATGCAAGATTAGAGATCTGGAGAAATACTGAGGCTAGGGATCTGGGAGACATCTATATAGAGATAATGGAAGATTATTTAGTAACCAAATGAGAGCATGTAGAGAAAGAAAAGAAGTGAGAGAAATGATTTTTAATAACCAATGATTTGAGGAGATCCAGAGTTCCCCACTTTTTCTAAAGTCCTGATTTTAAAAATTCAGTCTCTTGAAGGACATTGCTGTTAATAAAATGGGACTAACTTTCTTGTTTACACTTCACCCAGGTAGGGTAGCTATTCTGTTCTGCTCAGGCTTGGGTGGGGCATAAATTCTTTGAATAGATTGCCCAAGGTTAGGGTTAACTTAAGAAGTAAATGACTTAATCAAAGTTCAGGTCCTCTTGTTCATTGTAAAATTCATTCTCCCATTAATTGTTAACCAATCAAAGTTGATTCTCACCCTGGGGAACACCTTTCCAAAGGGTATAAAATGGTGATCCCACCTATGATTGTCTTTGGTCCCAGAGGGACAACTAAATGACCATCCTTTTATTAAAATGCTGGCATTATTAATAAAATTATTAAATTACCCAGAAATTATGTCTTTTGAACCTTTTTAATCACCACATAAGGTAGCCCAGGATAAAACCTTGAGATACACCATAATTAAGGGGCATAATATGGGTGATCATCTAGCCAAAAAAGAAACTTTTAGACAGATAAGAGAACCAGGAGAAAATCCTGGGAGGAGACAGTGTCCAGGAGGCAGGGGTAAGTAATAGTGTCAGATGCTGTAAAGGGCTCAAGAAGGATGAGGACTGAGAAGAGGTTGTCTGATTTGGCAATTAAAAGATTATTGCTAACTGTGGAGAGAACAGTTTCAGTTAAATGAAGGTGTTAGAAGTCGGATTTCAAAGGATTGAAGACTGAAAGGGAAGAAAATGGAGGCAGTGATGTAAATAGATTTTTCTAGGATTTTGGCTAAGAAAAGCAGTGATTTAAACTTGAAACAATGTCCATCAAAAACATCTTGCTATAATATACTATGGATTTACTCAGTGTGTGTATTAAATTTTATTGATCATGACCAAAGGAATATGTGTCTCCATCCCACTAGCATTCAAATGGGTTAGGAAGGCAGTTCTCCTCCTCCCTCTACCCTCCCCCTAATAATTTCAAAGTAGCATCAGTAATGAGGCAGCTAAGTGGCATAGAGGATAGAGAACTAGCCCTGGAGTCAAGAAGATGTGAGTTCAAATCCTCCTGCAGATGTTTATTAACTGTGTGACCTTGGGCAAGTCTCTTAACCACAATTTGCCTTGGTTTCCTCATCTGTAAAATGGGGATAATAATATCACCTACCGCCCAGAGTTGTTTCAAGGATCAAATGAGATAATAATTATAAAGTACTCAGCACAGTGCTTGGCACATAGTAAGTGCTATACAAAAGTTAGCTATTATAGCTATTATTGTTCCCATGCAATGCAGCTCTCCAGTCCGACCGCATGTTTGTCTTTGAACCAATGTTTTGTTGCAGTAATCAGTATCTGGATGACTCCTCTGTGTTCAGTAAACAGACACCCTTGCTTTAAGGAAGAAATGTGTGTGTGTGTGTGTGTGTGTGTGTGTGTGTGTGTGTGTGTGTGTTATTTCTTACAGTTTGTCTCCTATAGACACACTGTCCTCAAGGTCAAAAGAACCCTAATAGAACGAGCAAATGACACATTAGTCCACACAACGATGGCTTCGTTATGTTTCCAGATGAGGCTTGTTGACTGACCAATAATATCGGGGCTCAGGCTACAGTTACCCAACCAGTCTGGGTTTTCCCCCTCTTTTCCAGAAACATAGCCTGGCAGAAACTTTCTATCCCTTCCTTCCCTACAGTGAGGATACATTTGCTATTTTACTGCTTTATCGTTCATTCACTTTCCTACTTTTCCCTCAGATGCCATGTGGGCAGGGAAAAGAAACACTTTTTGCCCCTTCTCCGTTGCCAGTTGAAGCAGCTGGCATTTTGAAGGCCTTATTTATCTACCTCTTTCCTTTTTATTTTCCTTGTAATATTAACCTGCTATTTTTTTTAAAAGATGGTCATCTACTATAAGATCATTTGTCTGTGAAGGCATGGAAATACTTCCCTGCCCCTACATTGCATGCTTGGTAAGGGTAAACCAATTAGAGAGACTTCCTGCAATTCCTTAATATATTTAAGATTATTCCTACTACAGACTTATTTCCTTTTGTTTTGAACCTGGTGGGAAAAAGACCAATCAAGGTTTCAAGCCCAAAAGTGGGAATGTGGAGGGGGATGGGTGGGGTTAGACCTGATTTCTCTGAGGGTACTTCTGGGCAGCAGCTGGCTGCTCCTGGGGGTTCAGAGGTAGAACAATGGCACCAGAATGTACTTTGGCATGGGAGCTACTGACTACCTTGGCTGAACCAACAAAAAAGACACTTGGCATTCAGCGGCTCCCCCATCCCATTCCAAGAAACTTTTTCTCAAGGGACAGCCCTGCCCCCTCTCTGGGCATTATGTATTCATTTTGAGACAATTCTGGCTTTCCTCCACCTAGCTTATAAAGTTATCCCATTAGAGTGGTCTGAAGAATCAAAAAACTTGAGAACTATTTCCTATTTTCTCTCCAACCTCCCTTTGGTCTACAGATAGCCCCTTCCCCACCTCCCCCCATACCTCATTAAGACAGAAGGCATAGAACTTCTTACCACCTGGTTCTCCTTTCATGCCCTTGATTCCTGGAGGTCCTTGTGGCCCTGGGTTTCCGGGAGGCCCCAATCTCCCTGGATCTCCTTGGAGGCCTCTGAGCCCTTCACCTATTCAACATGAATTATTTTATCATATAAATTATATATATATATATATATATATATATATATATACACATTATATAGGCCTTTATCTATGAAAACTAAAATATAAATTTGGTTTATTTATGTATTTATTTACTTTTTCCTTTAATGAATGTGAGGGAAAAAAATCTACACTTCAACATTTGATCTTGCTTTCATCTTGAACTTGCTGCTTAGGGTCCTTCTAAGGGCATGGGAATCCAGTGATTCCATAAAATGGAGATCCTGAGAGGCCTATTAACCTTAACATCCAATGGAATGTTTCATAAGGTTTCTTTAAAAGAGAAATATTGGAAGATTCCAGAAAAGATCATTGAAACCTTGACCACTGAGCCGACTACTATTCGGAGAATATGTCACCAGAATCGTTAAGTCCCAGAAATCCAGAGAGCAGCTAAGTGGCCCGCTGGATAGAGTACCTGGCCTGGAGTCAGGAAGACTCATTTTCCTGAATTCAAATCCAGCCTCAGACACTTACTGGCTGTGTGACCCTGGGCAAGTCACTTAACCCTATTTACCTCAACTTCCTCATCTGTAAAATGAATTGGAGAAGAAAATGGTGAACCATTCCTGTATCTTTGACAAGAAAACCCTAATTGGGGTCACTAAGAGTAGGACATGACTGAACAACCACAAGTCAATAGGTTTCCTGGAAAGATTGAGACCTTGTATTGAAAGTCCTTCAGGGAAAATATGTTGTAAAGATGCAACATGATGTGATGGGAAAGGCATTTAACAAAGGAGTCTGGAAGCCTGGGTTCTAGTTCTGGTTCTACTAACAGTTTGTAGTGTGTTGTGTAAAAATCATTCCCCTCATTTAGGCTTCAGTTTTCTTATATATAAACTGAGAAGGTTGGAGATATGTTCCATAAGATCCTTTCAGTGACTAATACTTTGATCTTACACTTTTGCTCTGACCTAGGAAATGTTGCTTTATACATACCTGGGTCTCCCTTTTCTCCCTTGGCTCCATCTCTCCCATCTCGTCCATCTCTCCCAGGCCATCCAGTAGTCCAAGGACCATTACAAAGAGTGGTTGAGTGCATCGTTGACTGCTCTTCGAATTCCAGTGAATCTGAGTAGGATCCAATCAGTGCCCACTCTAGGAGCAAAAGACTGAGCAGGTGCCGCTGAGCCATCATTAAAACCCCAGACCTGGGAAATGTCAAGGAGAACCACCTCCAATGACTCAGTCAAAATGATTTGGATGTCCCTTTCCCTTTGCCAGGACAGAACTAACCTCATCTTCCAAATGGAGGCATAATTAGGAAAGGTCACCCAAATAAGGCTCCTGGATGAGAACTGCCTGTCGCAGAGAGATCTACCTAGGGAAGAGAAGATTCTTGGGACTCCCTCATTCTGATCCCAGTTAAGGAGTCAGGTCAACCTTCCATTTGAACAAGATCTAAACAGAAAAGAAAAGACAGCAAGAGAGCCTATCCTCTGCTCTAGGTCACCTTGATCTTTTGTTCTGTCGTGGACCCTTTTGGCAGTTGGATGAAGCTGATAGAGCCCTTCTCAGAATGGTGTTTTTAAATAATTGAAAGAAATGCTAAATTTCAGATAAGATTAGTGAAAACAAAGATGTAATTTTTCCCCTCCAAGTTCACAAACACTCTGAAATTTGGTCCATAAACCCCAGGTGAAGAACTCTTGTTCTGTTCCCTACCTCTGTATGATTCCAAACGATGAAGGAGAAGACTGGATTTAGCAGGACATGCTGAGGCACCTCTGCCCAGGTCAATCTGATTAGGGTCAGACTACTGTCTGTGTACTCAATCCACAGATTAATCTACAGCTGAACTTAGTACCCACCTCTCTGTTTACTAGGACTTGTGGGAAAGCTGGTAAATTATAGGGTAGAATAAATATTATCTCTGTGTGTCCCTTATGCCTAACACTTTTCTGCCCCTTCTTCTTGAAACTTTTTATTGATAAGTCACATCATGAGAATTTGCTTTTGTTTTCTTTTCCTCCTTTCTCTCTTTCTTTCATTCTACAATATTCTCTGAGCTCCTATTCTCTTCTCTAAAAGAGAGACTACTGGAGTAAAATAGGAACTCTCTGGAGCATCTAAGAAAGGGAGAAGGCATGGAAGCTACCCTCCAGGGCTCTAGTTGAGGAAGTAAGAGATAGAAGAAGATAACTAACAATGAAAATAGGTGGCAGGTGAGTTGTACACATAGGATACCATAGAAATAGTACTAGATTTGGAGTCAGAGGTTGAAATCCTCTCTCTACTACTTTGTATGTATCCTCTGGGTACATCCACTCACCTCTATGAGGTTCAGTTTCCTCATTTCTGAAATGGAGGGCTGGAAATGATCTCTAAGGTCCTTTCCAGATTTAAATTGGTTGGTCTTGTAAATACCATATGAAGTCAGAGGTCCTGTCTTTTCTTTTCTATGTATGTGAGACAGTGGCCTAATGCCTAATGGTGATCACTTAATGGTGATCTTCCATTCTAATAACATCTTTCTTTATATCTATCTCCATATACAGCATTTCTGCAGCACTCATACCCTGTGAAAATTGTATAAAATAGCAAACTAGCTCAGTACTTCCTTAGTTTCAAATGCTATCTCTCCTTTCTACTATTAAATAGTCCCCTTTCCTTGGCAACCTATTATGGTGGGAAAAGTGTTGGACAGGGAGTCCAAAGAGAGTGAGATTCAGATTCTACCTTTGACATCTACTGTGTGACCCTGGGCAAGTCATTTAACCTCTTGCATTTAAGCCATTTAACCTCAGTTTCCTCATCTGTAAAATTGAGATAATAATAGCACTTACCTCACAGAGGCTTTATGAGGTTCAAATGAGATAACATATGTAAAGGGTTTTGCAAATCTCAAGGTACTATATAAATGTTAATTATTTTATTACTATTATCATAAAATATAGATAATAATGTCTCCCTCCTGGGGTTATTATAAATATAGGATGTGCTCTGGGGCTCCACTGCATTGGCAAATCAGTTCAGTCAATCAACAAACATTTTTTAAGCACCTCCTCTGTGCCATGCACTTGGCTAAGCACTAGGTATACAAAGAAAGGTAAAAGACATTCTGTGCTCTCAAGGAACTCCAAGTTTAATGAGACACCTTGCAAACCACTATGTACAAACAACTGTGTATGCCAGTTAAATAGGAAATAGTCAACAGAGGGAAGATGCTGAAATTAAGAGGGACTGGGAAAAGCTTCTTGCAGAAGATGAGACTTTAGCTGGTACTTGAAGGAAGCTAGGAGGTGGAGATGAGAAGGAAGGGCATTCTAGGCATGGGGGAGAGCCAGTGAAAATGCTCCGTCAGAAGATGGAGGGTCTTGTTCAAGTGGTCCCCAGAGGCTGCCTTTCTTCAGCATGTCCAATTTGTCCTGGACTTCTGATGCAGACCTTCATGTCAGCTGTTCTGGGGACAGAAATTGAGGGAATGTCCATCACTTGAGGGATGGCTGAACAAGCTGTGGTATATGAATGCAGTGAAATACTATTGTGGTATAAGAAATGATGAACAGGCAGATTTCAGGAAAAAAAAACCTGGACATACTTTTATATACTGATGACAAAGTGAAATGAGCAGAACCAGGAAAACACTGTGCATGGTATCGACAACATCCTGTGATGATCACCTATGAATGACTCAGTTCTTCTCATCAACGCAATGATCCAAGACAAGTACAAAGGACTCAAGGAAAAATGTTGTCCACATCCAGAAAAAGAACTGATGGACTCTGAATGCAGATGGAAGCATATTTTTTTTTACTTATTTTATTCTTTTTCATGTTTTTTTTTCTTTTGATCTATTTCTTCTTTCACAACTGTGACTAATACAGAAATGCTTTACATGATAACACATGTATAAACTATATCCAATTGCCTACCATTTTCAGAAGTGGGGGAGGGAGGAAGACTGGGAGAGTGAAAAATTTGGAAATCATGTAAAATCATGTAAAAAATGAATGCTAAAATTTTCTTGACCTGTATTTGGGAAAAAATAAAATACTACTTAAAAATGGTAACAAATTAAAAATTAAAAAAAAAAAAGAAATTGTGGAGCCTAGCCTGGCGGATGGCCCCTCTCTGAAGCTGACAGAATTGGTCTTCTGGTACTCTTACTTCTTTCTTTTACTTCTCCCCCAGTCTAAAGTGAATACATTCCTTTGGCTCTCCCCGATGAAACCTATGAAAGAGATTTAATGATCTGAAGCGTAAACACACTGAAGAATTCATAATTAATACCTCTAAAGGGAATGTACATTTTCTTTTCACTTTTATCAGCATCTTTTGTTTTTATGTCACCTTCATTTTCAAATATTTCAAAATTCCCCACTTAGTGAACCATCTGTTGTACCAAAGATTAAAAAGAAAGAGAGGGAAAATACTTCAGCAAAACTAACCCATGCAGGAACTGACAGTAAATGTATAGGTAAAAGAGAGCAATGCTCTAAGCCAAAGATTTTGCTCTCCAATGGTGGAAGTTCAGGCACTGTGGTAGGTTGATATAGGAGGTATTTTGGGATATAAGAAATTTTTCTAGTGCCTCTCAAATCATGCCACACAAGTAGCTGCTACCTGAGTTTATAGGTAAAGTATGCCCCAGAAGGTGTAGGATTCTCACAGAGTAAACTCTAAGTAAAGCCTCTTCAATCACCAAAATTTGGTAGGGCTATCCCACAAAGCAGAACACTGGACTGAATTAGAACATTTTTCTTATCAACTTCATTTGGAACTCCTGTCCCTACCTGTCCCTACCTGTCTGGTTTGATGTCCATGTAGAGGTCATATTATGCCTTTCCAGGCTCTTGTGTGCCTAGGGCTTCCAGGCCACAGGAAGGCATGGATCATTGAATAATAGGACCATAGCCTTGGAGTAGGAAGGGACATTTGGGGTCATCTAGTCCAAACTCCACATTTTATAGATGGAGTAATTGATACTCAGAGAGGTTAAGTCATTTGCTCAGGGTGACACAGACAGTAAATGATAGAGTCAAGATTTGTAAAGTCTTCTGCTGCCAAATCTAGTGCTCTTTCCATCATACCATATGGCCTTTCTTGTGGGGTAGAAGTGGCCTAGTCTTCACCTCTGTGATGACTATAAGTTTTAGGGTCCTTTATGTTTGCTGGCACCGTGAGAAAACACTGTTCTCTGTTCTTTGTCCTATCTGTGATCTGTTCGTGCTTTAAAAATCAAAGCAAATCCTACTTTCTCTACGAAGCCTTCTCTGACCATCCCAAATTATGACTGTATCTCCTTCCTATTGCCTTAAGCACCTATAGCCTTCATTTAGTGCTTATTGAATGGATGGATGGAAAAAAAAACATTTCTTAATCACTGTGCCAAGCACAGGGGATAGAAACACAAAAGCAGAGCCAATAGTCATTAAATAATCACCTAGAGGCACCCTCTCTGGGCCTCAGTTTCCTCAACTGTAAAATAATGGAGCTTGATTGGTTGGTACCTAAGGTTCTTTGCAGCTCTATAGCTATGAAAATATCTTTGAGTGAATCACTTCACAGGAATATTGGAAAGAAGATATTTTGCAAAGTCTCCATAAAAGTGGGCTATTATTGATTACTACCCCTACATTCTACTCTATCATCCAGCCATATTAGTCTACTTTCTGTTCCTTGAATGTCACACTCCAAGCTCTCCCTGGGCAAAGGTACAGAGACACCTGGAATGCTCTTCTCCTTCACCTCTGGCTCCTGGCTACCTTGGCTTCCTTTAAGATGCAGCTCCAATCATACCTCCTAGAGGGGGGCCATCCCCAGCCCCAATGTCCAACCTTCTAATGTCTTCTTCTTTCAGATTACTTTCATCTACTCTGTAAATATCTTAAATGTACTTAGTTATTTACATGGTGCTTTCCCCATTAGAATGTATGTTACTTGAGAAAGGGACTGTTTTTGCCTTTCTTTGAATTTCCAGTGCTTTGTACAGGGCCTATCACACAATAAGAGTTATTGAATGCCTGTTGATTCACTGACCACATGCTGTACTCTGTTTGGTTAAAAAAAAACACCCAATGAGCAATTTAAGCTCCATTGGTCTCCTGACTTCATAGACAAGTAATAATGATTTTCTTTCTAACTTTCAATGAAGTACATTATGTAAGGCAGAAGTGCTGGGAATCCCTCTGGTGTTTGGCCAGGCCCTTTAGTGGAAATGCCTGGAAGAACGAAAGGGGAAAGGGAAAAATGGGGTGGGAAGGTGCTGGGAGTCTGCTGGGAGAGTCAGTTATGGATTAAGACATAGAACAGGAAGGGAAAATGAACCTTTGACCAAAATTGTGACAATGCTTGAAAAGAGGGGAATTTGACATGGGACAGACCTGGGTTCTAATGGTTTTGCCAATAACTATATGACCATGGGCAATTCACTCTACTGGTTCAGGTTTCAGTCAGTCAGTCAATAAACATTTATTAAGTGCCTACAATGTGATGGGCACTATGCTAAGCACTGGGGACACAAAAAGAGGCCAGAGACAGTCCCTGTCATCAAGGAATTCACAGTCTAGTTGGGGAGAAAACAAGCAAACAAATATATGCAAACGTATGCAGGATTAACTAGAAATAACAGAGGGAATCCTGCTCTAGAGTCAAGGGAAAGGAAAGGAAAAGAAAGCTTCCTATGACAAGTGTGATTTTAGGTGGGACTTGAAGGAGGCCAGGAGGCAGAGATGAGGAGGGAGAGCATTCCCACGATGGGAGACAGCCAGAGAAGTTTCCCAGAGCTGAGATATGGAGTGTCTTGTTCATGTAACAGCA